AACAAACTCGATTCTGGCAGCTTTGTCATATACTAACCTAACCTAAATCCACAGGAGGAGGTCGAACCAACTAGGAAATGCAAACAAACTCGGTTCATTCACCGTTGCACCTAAACACCATTGGAATTATATTTTTTTTTTCACACATACATTCAACATTATACTGAGTGAATGTTATAACTGAAGTGTTTATATAAAGTAAACATTATGCTATCGGTATATTAGATTGAAAGTTGTTATATCAATCGTCTATTATACCCAGTGACCTTTATGTCATACAAGAATATGTCAAATGTCTGTATAACATAAATTAATTATATCTGTTGAGTGTTGTATCGACTAAAAATGTGTCATTTGTTGTTATATATTACGAATCACACCCGGATTTATCCCATATTTTACTACCCTTAGCGTCGTATTCCAGAACTGTACTCAATGCTCAAGTCAGGATTTGAGTATGTTTCAAAGCACTAGAAATCATACTCAAGTCCTTGCCATTAGGGTCGTATTTCCAGTGCTTGAAATCATACTCAAGTCTGCTCAATTCCTGACTTGAGCATTGAGTAGAGTTCTGGAATACGACCCTAAATATTGTATTCTAGAACTCTACTCAATGCTCAAGTCAGGATTGCAATTGAAACACAAGCACTGGAAATACGACCCTGATGGCAGGGACTTGAGTATGATTTCGAGTGCTTTAAACCATACTCAAATCCTGACTTGAGCTTTGAGTAGAGTTCTAGAATACGACCCTTAGAGCTTTATAATATTTGAATGAGACCACTACTAAGGTAACCCTTTCCAACAAAAAAAACCGAAATAGGCTCACGAATGTCGGAGCAAGCGTGTACATACACACAAAAAATACAGACAAATGGAGAACCTTCTCGTTTTTGAAGTCGGTTAAAAATGACCATAGTCGCGTTATTATCCTGCCTCTGCAGTGCTTCTACAAGCGTTTTATTTGAAATCGCCACTACTCGTTCTTCTCAGGGGAATCTAGAGTACATAACCAGAAATAGAGACGAAATAAGGGCCAGCCCTGGAAATTCATTAGGCAAATGGGCATTATATCACTTTTAAATATCAACAACAATATTTGTTTGCACTGAAATCACAAATTAGAAAGCTGAAGTAGTACAACGCCAATAACTAACCTGTGTGTACGTCTCCGTATATTCCAAAAATATTCTGCATTTATTGTAATGAAGATAATACCTCCAACAATATAGTGTAGGGAAAACAGCAAAACATCTAATTACAACACAAACGAAATGACATCGGTAATAAATATTAAATATGTAATTTTTCAAATTTCGTCCATTATTATATAATAATAATAATAACAGTAACAGTAGTAACAGCAATAATAATAATAATAACAAGTTTATTTCTCCACAAAAACACGTTCAGAAGGTTCTCAGTAATTTAAAAAACATTAACAGCTTTTGTAGGAGCTGGTGCCTGTTAAAGGCACCTACACTACAAGTCACCAGGCCCTTGCCCTTGGGAATAATACATACTATATTTATGGCATTACTAAGAAAAGTATTAAACATTGCAAGAGAGAAAAAAATGTGAAAAATATAAAATGAATGAATTTTTTTACACTTATACACTACTGAACTTTAGATAGATGAATTTAATTGTAAATTGTACTTTAAATTAACTTAAATTGAAAACGAGTGTGTGCGTGCGTGCGTGCGTGCGTGCGTGCGTGCGTGTGTGTGTGTGTGTGTGTGTGTGTGTGTGTGTGTGTGTGTGTGTGTGTGTGTGT